TGCAATGTTGCGGTGTCGATGGCCCGCTCGACTATCGACGTCTGTCCCTCCCATGGTCCTGCTGCTCCCGTCCCGAACACGCTTACGAATCGGCATGTGATACCCACTACAAGCGCGGCTGTCTGGCCGTTGTCTCGGAGCAAATCAAGAGTCGTCTGCTGATAACCGCATTTGGCGCCGCAATTATAGCCATACTCCAGGTAATAGATAATTGGATCTGCCGATACAGATGAAATATGTAAGAGTTTTATATGCCATCCACAGAGCTTGGGCATCTTTTGCGCCGTGCATCTGACCATATTGTTTGGCAAGAACGACAACACCCATCCCATGAATATGAATCGAAAAAAGAAGCAGCAACAGTTCTTACCATTGACCATACAGGACAAGCGGCACGATCTACCATCCCCGATCAATTTGTCGCCCTCGGCTCCCGGGCAGCGGGTTTTAAAAACAGCTCTGCCTCCGGCCATGCACAAATGACAGACGATTAGCTTTTAATGACTACAAACAAAATTTATGAAAACTCAAAAAGTTATAAAAATGTTGTAACCTGAGATGGAATGAATATAACTGTGACCCTCAATGTTACGTTATGGTAATTTTAAAAATTTTACCGTTCGACAAAAAAACCAAAAACTAAAACAAAAAACCAAAAAGAAACAACATTTAAAATTTGTTTATCTTTTCCAGTACTTTAATTAAATCGAAAAAACTGGACATCCTCTTTTTTGTTTTTTTAACAAATCAAATCAGATCGAATTGACTCAAATCTAATTATGTCCTCGAGTTATAGTTGGAGGCACATAGAATGCATCGACTGCCTTGGGCTTCTTCTTCTTGCCGAACCAGCGCTTGGGATAGAATACTTTTTTCTTGAAGATCTGAATGTCGATGTCTTCTTTGTTCTCGAAGAACCACAGATTTTGTCGCCTCGCTTCCATGGCACTCAGTGTACTCTCAATGTTCTCAATGCGCTGGTTCGTTTCAAGGACTTTCATTTGGTCGTCAACGGCGCGCTGAAAGTTCGCTTGCCACGCCTTAAAGCTTTTGTCGTATTCCGATATTAATTGTGGCTCAAAGCTGCTGGCACTTAGCTTAACTCGTTTATCCAAAATCTCATCAAATGAATCAGACTTCGCACACTTCGCTAGCGCCGCATCCAGGAGAGCTTTAAATTCGGGATTGCTTCTTCCCTCTAAACTCTCAATTAGTTTTTGCCCCAGCTGCACAACATCTTTGTACAGACTTTGTTCGTTTTGTGCTATAAACTGTTCAGCCTCAGCATAGCTATCAGACATTATGAGGCCAAGCAGAGTTATATTTTTGGCCAATTCCTTATCCAGGCTGGGACTCAAGCCTAATTTGATTAGCGTTTCACCGAGAACTTTCTC